CTCCCCTGATTGAATGAATTGAATTTTAACATTTTGCATAAATTTCCTGACAAGAAACTGCTCAGGGGAAATTTCCACAAAATGAACACATTCCAGAAAGAAAAAAATCACACTCAAAGTTCTGCGAAGAACTTTCTTTCCCATTTCTCTTCCACGTACACCTAAAATCCTCAAAGATGAAGAGTGGGGGAATAAAAAGTTACTTAAAAAAATAATCCTGTCGGGTGATGTTAACTCCTCAAAGAGAAGCCACACTTGCTTTAACAATATTTAAGTTAATAAGGACACATTAAGGATTTTGAAGAAAATGTGCAGTGAGTAAAAATACATAGTGTGAGTGTCTTAAAATAAAGATACTTTTGTTTTAACAGGTGTTTGGAAAGGAAGACAGCTGCTTGCTGGACAGGCTATCTGGCATTTTCCTAGATTTAGACATGGATTGTTTATTTAGACATCTAATAAGTCCCTTCTTAGAGTGGTATTTTTCTTGGTAGCAAATATTATTGATATTATGTATTCATCTGCTGTATTAATACAGCTAATAAATTCAGCTTTTCATCATTTGGGTATGAAAATGATATTTGTACCTCGTAGAGCTTTTTTTCCATTGGAAGAAAGTCTTAAGCTTCATCTTTGGTGAGCAGGAATCTATAAAAAAAACCTATGCCTATTCCATTCTGCATATTGCTAGGAAGAGGCACATTCTTCATGAAGGACTCTGAGGGTATGTCTACACAGCAGGGCTAAAGTCGGAATAAGCTATGCAACTTCAGCTATATCAATTGAGTAGATGAAGTTGAAATAGCTTCATTTGGCTTTTGGCGCCATCTACACCACAGGAAGTCGAAGGAAGAACACTCTTCCTTCAACTTCCCTTACTCCTTATAAAATGAGCGTTTCCATGAGTCAGAGTACGAAGTCCTCCAGCTCACCATTATTTCGAAATAATGGATTGCTGTGTAGACACGCTCTTTGTTATTTCAGAATAATTTCAGTTATTCTGAAATAACACTGCTGCGTAGACATAGCCTGAGTGCTGGCTTTGAATGTTGGGGTGTAGAAATAAAAAAGCACCTTGATGCTACAAGAAACCAACGAGAGTAGGGTTAGCAAAGAACTCACTAGACTCCACGGAGGCACAATTTTATTTCATAAACAACTAGTATATGGAAACTGCTTCCTGAAGTTAAAAGGCCAAATGGAAAATGAATAAGCCTTCCCACAGCTCTTCGCACACATACACACCTTCCCAACTACTCTTGTAAACTGGGGAGTTTGGGAATATAATTTAGATTTTTGGCTCACTGAATCTGACTAAATAGTTCCTTAGGTTAGTCCCCACTCACAGTTAAAAAATTAAACGCTTCTGAAATCTATATTGATCGGGGAATTTCGGAACCCACAAACAGTGTCTGGAACAAACTTATGACAATCTTTATTGGAATAGGTATTAAAAATACACCTAGTAAAATGCTTAAGGCAATGGCTACATAACTTGATTCAATCAGTTCAGGTTGTAACATGAATATTGCCTAAGTATACAATTGCAACTACCTAATAATATACCATATGTACACCCTCTTGATGACCTTGAAGAGTTAGAGGACCAGCCTACTCCATTGGCACCACAGTTGTCTTAGTGAGAGATGAGAGGTTCTTATGATAGCATAAGAAACTGAAGACTATCTAAGTCTTCAGATAGTACTTGTAATGAAAGTTTAAAAAGAAAGTCAAGAAAGAATCAGAATGGTGAGTGAGAAACATGCATCCTACTACCAGTCGTGTGGGTTTATAGGCCTGTTTGACATAATTTAGGATCCAATCCTCACAGCCAAAAACAGATGTCTGCACCCTAAAATACTTGTGGGTGCTCATGTTTGGAGAATTAAATTAAGCTACCCCTTTGAATATGTATGAGTTGTCACCTTCTGTCCTCATGAACACAGGGTTTTTTGATTAACACTCAGAGAAACACCACAAGCTGCACGCTCAGCCTAATTTTCTGAGGGTATGTCTACACTGCCACCCTAGTTCGAACTAGGGTGGCTAATGTAGGCATTTGAAGTTGCAAATGAAGCCCGGGATTTAAATATCCCAGGCTTCATTTGCATCTTGCCGGGCGCCGCCATTTTAAAATCTCCCTTAGTGTGAACTCCGGGCCCGCAGCTACACGTGGCACGGAGTAAGTAGTTCGAATTAGTCTCTCTAACTCCTCGTGAGCAGGGCTGGATTACCCAATAGGCAGACTAAGCACATTCTTAGGGCACCAGCAAAGCAGAGGCACCAAAAAAAAAAAAAAAGAGATGTTACGATATAGTATTGTTTTTATTTTGAATTACATATGGGGGGGCACCATAATCTTTTCAGTGCTTAGGGCCTCTAAAGGTCTTAATCCGGCCCTGGTGGTGAGTGATGGGGCTGGCGGTGTGGGGAGGGGAGATGTATGGCTCCTGTCTCTGCCATGAGGAGGGAGGCCTTGTGGCTCCTCCCCCTGCAAGTGGGGAGGGTGTGCAGCTCCTGGCCCCTCGCAAGAGGGGAGGCCTTGTGGCTCCCAGCCCCCCCCATGAGGGGTGATGGCACGCAGCTCCCTGCTGTCCCTTCCCATGAGGGGGGAGGGAGAAGACCACGTGGCTCCAGCCCTCTAGAATATCAGGGAGGGAGGAGGCAGGGTAGCTAAGGATGGAGGGAGGGGCTGTGGGACACAAAGTGACATGATGACATCACTCTGTTGTCCCACAGGAAAAGTTCTTTATATGTAGAGAGGGAAAGCCTACTGGTATCTGCTTGTGGTTGATCCAGCATATTCCACCATTTAGACTATATTTTATGTATATAATATTTAACTCTATACTTTACTACTATATTTCAAAACCATTATATTAGTATATAATACTATATCTTTCTTCTAATTAATCTACCCTACTGCCAAAGGTGGCTTCTTACAGGATAGGATTCCTGTAAGTTCTTGCATTACTGCTAGAACAGAATGAAGACAATGAAAAGTGTATAGATTAATATATCAGTTTGCAGGCAAGTAGGTAAGGTTAGACTTATAGGCAACACTCTTTATATTTATGAACCTAGGTGCCTGATGCCTGCAAAGATCTCATGATTCCTCCAGGCAGCTCTAATGACTCATTAAGTCATGCTGCCAGTTTGTCTGCAGTCAGAATACCAAGCAGCAGGGATTGCTTGGGTGTCTGATTTTATGGCCCAAGGACTGGACATCTTACTTGCTGCATACAGTGCAGAGAGTACTGCCAACAACAAACAATTAAAATTATGAGATTGGGTTAAAAATCATGAGACTTCTTCTTAAAGATAAGGCTCTGTTTATCTGCCTTGTGGTTTTTGAATCTTTATGGTCAGTCAGATCATGATTTCCAGCAGTTCTCCTCTACTATGAGGGCTAGAAATTACCTTTAAATGAAAGCTGAAATTTTCACACTGTTACATGACTGCAGGAGCCCAGACTTCAACAAAACACCACGTATCATGAGAAGTGGCATTACAACAGTCTAGTCACCCTGCCACACTTGCTATGAAATGTATCCTTGAGATGCTGGTTGTATTCTGATGGCTTTATTGGAAGTTAAATATTTGTACTGAGGATGAAATTTACCCCACTGCCTAAGACCAGGGCAAGTTCTGTGCACCTCCATTTTAACAACCCTCTCAAATATGTTATTAAAGTTGTTACAAAAGTGAGCACTTCTAGCCAACAGACTGCTAAAGAGGTTAGCTGGATTCTAATTTCTTTCATGCAACAATACACAATATTAACAAGCAGATTCTGATAAGGAGGGTGAAATCCTGTAAACATCCTACTGTCACCCTCTAAAAATAAGCAAATCCTTAGGCTTTTACTTATGTGATCGACGAGCAGGATATGCACAAAGAATAAATTATGCACAAGGTTACTTTTCTGGTCCTAACCCTTTTGTAAGAGTGTGTGCAAACACACACATATCCATTGAGGCATATTTAATATATTTTACCACGTATACAAATTTTCTTCATGAACTATGGATAAGTATAAAAGTCCCAGTCCTGCAAGGAGTGCCAGGGGTAGAATCCATTGGGGCATCAATCTACCTGTGCATAGCTCAGTGCAAGATAGAGGCCAAAGGTATTTTGATTTGTAAAGCAAATATCTATGAATCAGGAACATTTTCTATTGCACTCTTTTATGTGGTTTAGTGTTAACTTACCTGTCAGTATTCAGCGTGTTTGCATGAGGAGAAGAACCAACCAATATACCCACAATGTCTGAGAGTTCAGGACAGGCAATTCATTTTTATTTCTTAAACAAACCGATGGTGGTTACAGTCTGTTTTTGTAACAGTTGCAAGCAGATTCATTATACAGTTATGTCTAAGATATAGAAACAAGAGAACATAACTGAAGACAAAAGAAAACAAGCTGCAAATTGCATAACAGAATCAAGTTTTAAAAGAGGTCAATAAATGTATCCATTGTCACATCCCTTAACTTGCTATCTGTGTGCAGACATGTCTTAAAATTCTAAACAAGCAGTTTACCTCAATTAACTTGTTTAAAACAAATAATTTATTTCAGTAATTTATATGGGTTAATAAAATTCATTGTCTACCTGAAATTCCCTTAGGGTATGTCTACACTATCCTCCTAGTTCGAACTAGGAGGGCAATGTAGGCATACCGCACTTGCAAATGAAGCCCGGGAAATTCAAATCCCGGGCTTCATTTGCATAAGCGGGGAGCCGCCATTTTTAAATCCCCGCTTGTTCGAACCCCGTGTAGCGCGGCTACACGGGGCTCGAACTAGGTAGTTCGGACAAGGATTCCTATTCCGAACTACCGGTACACCTCGTTCCACCTTGTACCTAGTTCGAGCCCCGTGTAGCCGCGCTACACGGGGTTCAAACAAGCGGGGATTTAAAAATGGCGGCTCCCCGCTTATGCAAATGAAGCCCGGGAAATTCAAATCCCGGGCTTCATTTGCAAGTGTGGTATGCCTACATTACCCCGCTAGTTCGAACTAGCGGGGTAGTGTAGACATACCCTTAGTGCTTTATTTTTGGCATGCATGCTTCATTCCTCATTTGTGAATTCCATTTCAATAGAGCCTGTATTTATTTTTTAAGAACGAAGTAGATAAACTCAATCCAAAGCTATGTGACACAGACAACACCTATTTCTACAGCACTTCCTTTGTCATACCCGTCTCTTTCTCCCCCTTCTGCCTCTCTCTGCAAGTGGCTATGGTGAGCAACTAGCTCTCTGAAAGACTTGAATAGTGTGTACTATTGGTAGATGTGGGTGAATGCTTTAATGTTTATTAATCTAAAAAAATGAGAAAAGATTACAAAAATATAAGGAGTAGAAAACCTTAGACAAGATAAAATACATAAATATTTAAGCAAAGATTGTTTTTGATCAGGCAAAGTTTATCAAATGTCACTCCAAAATAACAGGGATATAAACTAAATACATTATACTAATTATGTATCCAAAAATGACAGTAAACCTTCTTTACCTAAGGACACTTAACTGTCCATAGTTAGTAATCTGATTCAGTGCATCACAGCATTCACACACAGTAATCGCTTGAAGTATTGTTGATATTATAAAAATAACTATTTAGAATTATTATACATAAACTAAAACAGATCTTCAGGTTTAGGTTTGATCATTGTGATTTTGTTTTAATTAAATTCTTCAACATTCCCACTGATTTCACAAACCTGTGAACAGAAACAAAAAACAAAAACTACATGAAAATAATTCTGAAAGAATAACAGATATACAAAAATGAAATGCTGTGTTTGGTATGTTGTCCACATTTTTTATATTTCCATATACAATACTCAGACCTCCACTCCATGGAGAACAAATAATATATCTAATTAATTCAATGTCTCATTAATCACTAAAATATCCATCATTTTCATTATTTTAATCATTATTTGAAAGCACTGAAATGTTTTACTGTTACTGTCAATCATGAGAAGTATGCAGGGAAGGAAGCCTGAGATGAGCTGGTTAACTGTGATAATCAGAAGCTTAAGGGGGTAGCCACGTTAGTCTTTACAGGATAAACTTAAAAAACAACGAATGGTCTGGTAGCACTTTATAGACTAACAAAACATTATAGATGGTATCATGAGCTTTCATGGGCACAGCCCACATCTTCAGATGACCGGAGTTATGAGTTTAGGATGTGCAGACCCAAAATTATATGGCACTGTTTCTGTTCCTGACTGAAAGAGCAAACAGCAAGCAGTTCCAGAGTGAATACCTATCAGAGCAAATTTAAAATTTATTTCCCGCACAACTTAGATATCTAGCAATGTGCCTTCTAATCTTTTCCATCTAGGTGCAGATTTCTTCCATATATGTGTGGAATACATTTTTATGTGCACCGAGGCATGGGTGAATGTGCTCCACCAATAGAAACATAAAACCCAGCTGTGAGTGCTCTGCTAATCAGCACCATGCTCAAGGCAGCACTGACGGCTGGGGAAGGGGCTCGTGTAGCATGCTTGTTGCCCTCGGGTCCATCCCTTCCACCCAAGATCCCTCTTCTTCTGGGAGCACGGAGCCACTGCCCTCCCCACCTTACCAGTGGGCCGGTGTGGCTGTTAGCTCCCCGTGCATGAGTATCCAACAGAATGCAGCATATCAGAAAAAATGCCTGTGAAACACTAAGTCCTTATCACACATTAACCTCACATATATTTAACTCATTCTATTCCCTCCTTACCTTAAGTTTAATTCAGTGGTTCTCACACGTCACTGCACTGCAACCCACTTCTGCCACTTTTGGCTTCAGCCCCAGTGCTGGCCCTGCCATTCCCATTAAAAGAACCCTATGAAAACCACTTTTAATGATGCACCTATCAGCCTCAACTTTAATAAAATGTAGCCAGATTCTATGACACTAGTAACACTTGTGCTAAGCTTGTTTCCAGAAATACCCAATGCATTGGTGGCACTGATTATTATTCTCATTTAAAAGGTACTTTGGCCCTCTCTTGACAAACATAATCATGTCAATGTAATCAAAATTGCTTAACTTTCAAAGGCCCTTGAACACTCACTAGTAGGCAAGCTAACATGGTTGGAATATGTATTAACTGTGTTATAGCCTAGTCGTCCCTCCATCCCCCGTCCTCCCATAAACAACTGTGCTAACATTCTTTTGCCTGCCAAAACAGAACTTTAGCGTTTGAACATTTCATGGCTTACAATGGCAGGGTAAAGAATAAAGGAAAGGAAATGGTGACGAAAAGGGGTGACCTAGTGAGTTTTTCCCAGGCACTTATTTCCAGTATATATATTTATATATATTTGTTATGTATATATAATGTGCATCTGTCTTCTTTGAGATAGGGTAAACAGAACTAGGCATGGCACATCAGGAGTGTGCACACAAACCCACATCCCAACATGCATAAAGAAAGTAAACAGGGCACTCCTAGGCTATGTCTAGACTGCAGGCTTCTTTCGAAAGAGGCTCTTTCGAAAGAGCGCGTCTAGACTACAATACGCGGATCGAAAAATCGATCCGCTTTTTCGAAAAAGAGCGTCCTGACTGCTGGACACTCTTTTGAAATTGAAAGCCACCCGGAACTGCTTCTGCCAGGGCATGGGGGCAGCATTTCCTTCCGGGTGCTGCCTGCCTGCCCTTTGCAGAGACGTGTGGTGAAAGGGACACTCCTGAACACCCGTTGCTCTGCTCCTGCAGCTGCCTTTGCTGTCCCTCTAGGAGGTAAGCAAGGCATTGCAGTGCTGGTTTGGAGTGCTCAGCTTCCTGGGACACCCCAGCAGCTTTTTTCTCGGTGAAAGGGACACTCCTGAACACCCGTTGCTCTGCTCCTGCAGCTGCCTTTGCTGTCCCTCTAGGAGGTAAGCAAGGCATTGCAGTGCTGGTATGGAGTGCTCAGCTTCCTGGGACACCCCAGCAGCTTTTTTCTCGGGAGGTTTTTCTGCTTTAGACCCATTTTTGTGGCATGGAGCCAGAGCTGCCCCTGGGCAGGCGATGGCCCCACACCACCATACTGCAGCTGTTGCTGCATCTGCATGACACAGTCATGAGGCTACTTCCCGAGCTGGACCCAGACCAGAGGTACGAGGGGCTCCTCCGTCAAGCAGCCGCACTGCCCTTGCCTCCAAACTTTTTCGTG